AGAGATTGTAGAAAAAAATGTTTTGTTGCTTTTTCTTTTGATTTACTATTAATTTTTCTATATTAAGTAAGATAAATGTTAAGAAAAATTAATTTATAATTTAAATTTACATTTATTTAGTATTCTGTAATTTGTGTAACTATTTCAACTATTTCTTTCTCTTTAAAATTTTTCAAAATTTGAAAAAAATGTATAAAAATTAAAAACGTACAAAAAAATTCTGGATTTGGGAACAACATAAAAATCTGAACCATTCACATCCACCAGTTTAATTATGTGCAGGGTATATATGAAAAAAAAGGAGGCGTTAGCTTTAAGCCGCCCTAATTGCGCAACAATGGTGAGCTCTAAGCCAAGCCAAGAGCCCGCTAGGGGGGAGCTCTTGTTTGTGTTGATCTCTCTTGCGCTCAATGTTGTTTGGCAAAATATGCGATCATTTCCGTGGGGCAAAACGAAAGCGAGACAGTTCACGGAAATGAAGCAGCAATTAAGAGGCATATGGACAAGTCTCGGCCCAGACTCGGCCAGCTCTTGGATCTGAGCCACACATAGCAAAAAGTGCGCTTGACCACTTGAACTTTACATCACTGAAGGGCTGAAGGGCCAAAATGGAAAAATACCAAAAATAAAAAAAAATAAAAAAAGAAAGAAAACTCCAAATGCAGCGCGTCAAGTGCTTCGGCTGATTCGACAGAAAAAAAAAGAGATGAAAAAGCGACAGCAGCTCTTACAACGAAAGCCAAAATATTTTGTATTTAATGTATATAAATAGATAAATATGTTTTTTATTTCTGTGGAAATCTGCGCATTCATCTGAAAGCAAACAAAGCATAGAAAAAAAATAAAAAGAGACACAAAAGCCAAGCGACCTTCGTCAAGCGGCCGCGGCGGCTGTTGCATTACAGTTTTTCTCCTCTTTTGTCAGCGCTGCAAGTGGGCGTGGCTGCAATTAATTTGATTGCAGCTATAAATAGCTAAGGCTTGCGCGTCGTCTGCTCGCCACGCCCACTAGCAAAGGCGACGCTTGGAATGCGCCTAATCGATGCAAAAATCACCCCAAAAACTTGTTCTAAGCTTAAGTAAGAAGAGACTGCGAGCGGGAGAGTGAGCGAGAGAGCTATAGAGAGGCAAATGCAGTTGAGTTGAGTGCTAGCCTGCTTTGCCTGCCTGSCCGCCTTCCAGCTTTCTAGCTGGCCTTTCCCGTCTGCTCCTCCTGCTCGCCTTCCAGCTTTCCAGCCTGCCTTGGACCACCATCAATGGCCGCGCTCTGCTCTGCTCTGCGCTGCTCTGCTCTGCTCTGGCAGATGGAGTCATGTCTAATAACTGGAACTAAAGCACACGCCGCAACGGCATGAGGCACGGCCATAGAGCAATTAGCGTTTGCTCACAGAACGCCACAACAACAAAAAGAAGAAGCAGAGGAAAAATGTAACAAATACGCGCGCGGCATATGCATTGTAGGTAAGTAAAAAAAATAAATAAATAAATTGGCCCGCAGCGCTGAGTGGTTCAATAACCTGCCAATGGAACTATCGATAAACATGCCTGCCCCTCTCTCTTTCTCTCTCGGCTCAAGTTCAAAATTCGCAACATGCAAAAAAAAAAAGCAGATGATTAATCAACTCATTCTCTTTACTCCCGCAACTTTCCAGTCAAAAGAGCTAAACAATAAGAAGAGGCTCAATGTGTGTATGTATGTATATGTGTGTGTGCGAGTATTTTTCACTGCATAGTGATAAGGTCGAAGCTGTTCCAATTCACATAGTTCAAGTGCCCTTCGCCCCATCTCCCCTCCCCCTTCCAGCCATAGAAATTCACTTCGTCGCATTTCTTCTGTTTCTTCGATGTGTTTCTATTTTCTTCTGCTATGTTTGTTCTATAACCCATTTACTTTGTCTACTCTCTCGTTCACACACGCTCTGCCTCTGCCTCTCCCTCCCCCTCTCGCTATCTATCTATCTCACTCGCTTTGTGGTTCGTGCAACGCTTGGAGGCAACATTTAATTGATCGGATTCACTTTGATTGATCGGATCGTCGCTGTTGATAATGGTACCGTTAATTTGGTAAATTATTTTGCATTTAGAAGCAAAAGCAATCCATTTTCGAACTGATTATTGGGTTCGTAATGATCATTGGGCATGATGCCACTGCGCGGCCCTGTTCTACAATAAACTCTATAATTCAGTTAAAGGTTAATGGGTGACGGCCATACACACATAGACATGTGTATGTCTGTCCATAAAAGAAACTATAGCAAATGGAACTGAACTGGAATAGAGCTTACAGCTGGTGGCTAGAGCATGTGTGTGCGAGAGAGAACGAGAGCGAAATAGAGATAGTGATAGAGTTAGAATGTGAGCTGTGAGAAGTAGTGATAGGCAACGTCGAAAAGATATTCTATAGAAACTTAAGAATGTGCGTTATAATCGAATTTCTAAAAATAAATATTATTTTAGCCAAAAAAAAAAAAAGGAGAAAAAGTTTTTACAGTTCTTATAGATGATATCATCTGGTAGCAGATGAAAGCAAACTAAATGCGTTAATATTATAATATATGAGCTAAGAATGAATAGGCCAGACAAAATTCTAATTAATTGAGAAATTAATAAAGATATTTTATTTTATTCATATGACATTAAAGCTGTAAAAACATTTATAAACTTCCATACTTTCAATAACTATATTTAAGCCAATTATTAAAATTCCATATTCAGATGTATCCATCAATATTTTCCGATTTGCCGTTTTCTTTCCTTTTCAATTGTAATCTTTCCATCGAATTCCTTTATTTCATACCGATCTGATCCCATACAACACAATCATATCTCAACCCATTATAGCCCTTGTCTCCTATCCCATTGTCATTCTTTCCTCTTCAATTATACATACCATGAAATCTATAAACTCCAATCTATCCTTTGTCATCTCAACCTTATCCACATTCTTCCACCTCAACCAGTTCGCATTTTCATAATGCAGTCCAACTCTTTGATATATATAACTAAAGCCAACCTCAATTAATCGAATACCCATAAATATGTATTCCAATCTGCCAAGAAGCTACTCATCCATTGAGAAGACATGACATGACATGCAAAGACGAAAACAACATTTCTACGGTTTCATTCATTATCTCTCGCTGTCATTTCATAATACCGATCCTTTGCATGAGACATGCGAATAAACCGCAATGCTCCATTCAAAGTCTCCCTCTGTGTGATCCCCCCTCCCCTACCCCTTTCTTCAAAAGTACCGTTTTGTCGCCTGAGTGACACAGTATCGTGATTTCGAAAACGAAAACCGAAAAATCGAAAAATCGAAAATCGAAAATGCGAGCATCGGGTTAAGCAACACGCAAATGGAGGTCAAACTCATAATTCAATTAGGAACCTGCAGCGGTGTCAATGCAGGCCGTGCCATGCCGTGGCGCGCCGTGCCTCAAAAGCGAATTCCGACCCACTGTGCGTGGGCCAAAACAAAAGAGACAAAGAGACAGAGAGAAAGAGAGAGATAAAAAGGAATTATACATATATTTTCCGCTTCCATTTTTTTTTTGTTTTTTTTTTTTTTTTGCCGGCCATGTAAATTGACATCGACGACGATCAAAGTTAAATTTCTGTTTGTTTAAGCCTTCACTTTTGCCGTGGCAGCAGACTGAAGAGCGGCGAGCGGAGAGGGAGAGTGGAGAGTGGCGACTGGAGAGCGAAGACCGGAGAACGGAGACTGAAACAGTGGAACTGTGGGCCCGAGCGTGAGTCAGCGACTGAGCGATTGGAATTCTGCGCGCTTTGAGGATTTATTAACAAGAATAATAAAAAAAATACCGAAACAGAAACAGAAACAAATGCAGACAGAGCGAGCACAGCGATGAAGCCAAAGTCGAAGCCGGCAGCGGCAAACCGGTTCGCAAAGTTTTTTCTTAAGTTGTTGGCAATACCCTCTAGCTGTTGGCTGGACGAGAAGTGGTCATAATGAGCACATGAGCACATGTATATAACTTATGTAAAGAGCTCTAGAATCTCTTCTAAATATTTTATATGATTTATTTAATAGTTTTTCGTATAAAAATGTAATATTATAAAACGCCATGAAGCATATTAAAGTCATATCTAGACTGCTATCGACAATTATGCGTAACTGTAAAACTATCGATGGGTTACAGAGGACATGGATTCAAGAGCTTTACAGCTATTTTTATAGAAAAAATCTAAATTATATATACAACAAACAAAGCCAAATCTTAGAAAAAAAAGTATCGATAATCATACAATCGATTACAAGTGTATCGATTATATTTATAATATATGTATAATATATGTAATATATGAAATATATATTCATATATATACAGCTAAGTAGCTTAGGTAAGGGCATGTCGATGTGGCTAACGATAATTGTGCGCTATAAAAACTATCGATTCCTTCAAGCAATTCCTAAAAATAAAATCCTAAATGAAAGCAGAAGGCCAACAACGTATCACTAGCTATCGATATACATATGAAATATCGATAGTCACCCAAGAAATCGATCACTATTTCTCATGGAATTATAAGACTACTCTAAGGCAGTTTAGCCTAATGTATAACTTCAGATATTCCATTCCAGGGTATCATTGGTGTCTGGGCTAGCTAACCTCTATAGACCCCACTTCATTTAAGTACCTTTTTTTTTTGGTATTTTTTATTTCTTTGGTTTAAAGTTTGATTATTGCTTTTTGGGCAACTCTTACCTGTATGGAGCCGGCAACTGATGCGGAACTAAAGCTGGCATTGCTGGCCGCATCCAAAACATTGAGGGGCGTAAATTGCTGTTGCCTACGCTGCGATTGCAATTGCAACTGTGACGGTGACGGTGACTGCGACTGCGACTGTGACTGCGACTGCGACTGTGATTGCAACTGTGATTGTGATTGGGTTAGCGAGGCATCCTTGGAGTTGTTCTTAAGTGCGGGCAGCAACAACTTGGACAGTTTGTCGTTTTGTCCATTGCTGTTGTTGCTGCTGATGTTGTTGTTGTTGATGTTGTTGATGTTGCTGTTGTGATTGTTGTTGTTGTTGTTGTTGTTGTTGGAGTTACTGATGTTGCTGTTGTGATTGCCATTGGCGTTGTCCATTTTGGTGCTATCCAAAGGCATTGTCACAGTTGCTGTCGTAGTTGTTGCTGCTGCTGTCGCTGTTGTTGTTGCTGTTATTGTTGCTGTTGCTGTTGCTACTATTGCTGTCGTCGTGGCTGAGCTCTGCTGATGATTTCCGTTTTCTTGATGATTTCGCATTTTCATTTAGATAATTGCTGCTGCTGGGATTATCTACTGCTGCTGCTTCTACTCCTCCTCCTCCTCCTCTTCGTCGTTTTTCTTTATATTATTAAATCTTTTCTTTTTTTGTAGTTTTCGTTTCGTTTATTACGATGATTATGTTTGAAAATTGTTTTTTAACACCTTGTTGCCAGCATTTTAGGGCGACGCTACAACAACACAAGAAATTATATATAAACAATTGGCACACAAATCAACAAACAAAAATAGTTGTAACAATAATAATAATAT